CCTGTATATTTTTGCTAATTACGTTCCCTGTCATTCATAAAGAATAATCCTGAACGCTTCAACCTATCCTCCATGTTGAATTCCTATTATAAAACAAGAAATTTGACTATAAAAGGACCAACTTTTAAACTGAAACATCTTTTAATACCATAGACGGAAGAGGAGTACAGCTTTTTAATCTACTCCGACTACATATTAGGAAACTGAATGATCGTCAATTTCATAATACTATTGTTAAACTTTTAAAAGCTCAAAGTTTCTACGATACTTCTGAGTTTGCCAATTTCGATATCAAACATTATTTTGATAATGAAATGCCTACTGTTACTAATTAATACTTTTTTTTGCAACAGTTACAATTTTTTCCCTTTTCAATACCTTTTCTAATTTTTATTCTAAATTATTTTACCATTGTCCTACTTTAAGTATTTTATCATTACAATTATTTTCATATTGTATATTCTTTTTTGATACTGCTCTTAATTTTTATTTTCCAGATATGAGACTCAAATAATAATTGCATAACGGATATTTCAAGGATTTTTTTACCATAAGAAGACTCTCAAGATCTACAACAATTAAACTATTTGAATTTTATTACATTTTTTTTTCAAACAATATTATTAGTACTGGTTCTGGTTTCTTCAATTTTTAAATGTCTTCCACAAATTTGATTTGAACAATATTCGCAGTACTAAAAGAGAATGACCTTCAAAATGGCGTATAAATTATTTAAATACAAGGGTATTAGTCGATTATGTATGGCAATGCGCCCACACCCTTGCGCGTCATAACTATTATTAACTTGTCTGGCAGACCCTTGCAATCGTCAGAATGGTCTGTCATTCTACATATGCTTTCTGAACAGTTAAAAGAATACACCCTCAAAATTTAAGCCTTGTGAAAGCAAATTAAAAAAAAATTTTTTTTACATTTTCAAATACTCGAGGGATGATGACGCAATCGCGAGATGCTTGCCAGACCGGTACTTTCTTAATGTACCGATAATGAAATATCATTCAAAAAAATTCTAGCTCCGAGAAAACAGGTCAGTCAAATAGTTCACTGGCTCTCAGACTATAGTAGTCGTCGTGATGATGATGATGCGATATGTTTTTGTTCGGCGTTATGACGCCATGGAGAAGAGGTGAGAGTCAGGAGTAAATTATAACTAGTGGTGCATGGCATTGCTTGAGGCAAATTGCTGGAACTTCCCATACCAAAAATATATTTTTTTAAAAAGATTCAAATTTCTTTTAAAACTGAAAAAAATCAAATTTCGAAATTTTAAAAATTTTTTGAGAACTAGTTGGTATTGGCATTTAGCCTTGAGGCAAGTTACATGAACTTCCCGATATGTGTAAAATAATCAATTAAATATAAATGAATTTATGAGCGATTAAAAGTATTCTCCGAGTGGATTTATTGCACATAATTGAAAACGAACGAACACGTTAACTCGGAGTATTTTCTAAAAGCAAATTTTCAAAAATCAACAATTTATACAATTGAATCAGATTCCACAGGACGTTAATGGTTTAGTATGTTCATTAAGACAAAAAACTACCATCGTTATACCAAGTAAATCCTCTAATTGTAATTTTAACCAACGTCAAAAAAAAACTACTCATGTTCTCAAACTTTGATGAATTTTTAAAATTGAACTACCTGTTGTAAGGGCGTAATATTTCAGTAAGTTCTATAAGACCATGATATATATCGCCAAAAAAGTTCCATGAAAATCGGCTTAAATTTTTTTTCAACAGTTAATTACAAGAAAACGGCTCGGTAGATTTTCACCTAAAACTAATCAGTATCATTCCCAACTAATATCTTTCAAACAGTTTTTGATTTTTTAAAATCGATTCGGTACTTTGAGCTTAAATGTGGACGCAAAGTTTAACACTTTTTTTCAAATTACAAAGAAGCGACTCAGCCGGTCGTCGCACAAAACTGAGAAACGATAAACCTCATCGAGATACATCATATGGTTTTTAAATTTCTGAAATCAGTTTAGGCGTTTTTGAGCAAACGTCGATGCAAGTTCTAATTTTGACAAATGCCAATAAGACCATAGTCATTTTTGCAAACTTTGAGGAATTTTTAAAGCTAAACCAATTATCGTAGGGCCGTAATATTTTAGTATGATCTAGAAGACTATGGTATCTACCGTCAAAAAAATAATCATAAAAATCATCGAATTTTTTTTTTGACCTTTATTACAAGAAAACGGCCCGTCCGATCTCTACCAAAAACTAATCAGCACAATTCCCAACCAATATCTTTCGAACGGTTTTTGAATTTTCAAAGTCGATTCAGAATTGCGGGCTAAAACGTAGACGAAATTTTTTTCACTTTTCTGCGATTTATAAAGAAACGGCTTGGCCGATCGTCGCACAAACAATAGTCCTCATCGAGATACATCGAGTGGCTTTTAAATTTTTGAAATCGGTGCAGCCGTTTTCGAGAAAACGTCGATTTACGGCAAAAAATCTGTTCACATACACTTACACACACACACACACATACTTTTTCCAAATTTGGTCTCATTCGATTCAGAATGGCTTGAAACATCGAGAAAACATAAAATTATCAATTCGGATTTTTTGATGAAAACATAAACTTCTCCTTCGGGAAGTTAAAAATCGTCGATTTTTTTTTTTAAACTTCATTACAAGAAAATGGCCCGACCGATCTCTACCAAAAACTAATCAGCACAATTCCCAAACAATATCTTTAAAACGGTTTTTGAATTTTCAAAATGAATTAAGAATTACGGGCTAAAACGTGGACGAAAAATTTTTCACTTTTCTGCGATTTACAAAGAAACGGTTCGGCCATTCGTCGCACAAAACGAATGGCTTTTAAATTTTTGAAATCGGTCCAACCGTTTTTGAGAAAACGTCGATTTACGGCAAAAAATCTGTTCACACGCACACACATACACATACTTTTTCCAAATTTGGTCTCATTCGATTCAGAATGGTTTGAAAAATTAGCGAATCGGATTTTTTGATGAAAACATAAACTTCTCCTTCGGGAAGTTAAAAATGATCTTTCTAAAATATTGGATTTTTTTATACTTTTTGAAATATTTTGGAACTTTTTAACTTCCCACTGATCCGATTTGAATATTTCAAAAAACATTCGATTCGTATATATTCGTATATTGAATAATTGAAATCGGTTAAACCGTGTTTCCGAAATCGTCGAAAATTTATATCCGCACACACACACACAAATACATCAATTTTTTCTAAGATGCGCCCAAATGTTCAGAAACCATTGAAACGTAAAGATATATAACAAATTTCATTTTCGATTTTTTTTGCGATTACTGTAACTTACTCTACGGGAAGTTAATAAAAATTGATCCAAAAAAATTTTAAAAAATCTTAGGTGTGATCAACCCTTACCACTTAGAAGTATAAAAGATGTTTATTAACTTTCTAATTAGTATAATTATCTAACTGAAACAATGTTGTTACTTCAATATATTAATATAATATATTTTATTGACCCTTTGTCTATAAATTAAATTATGCTAAATATCACAACAGCTATTACACTACACATATTAATGTAATATATTAATTTATTGCCAATTGCTATATCTAAATATGAATTGAAATAATTCGTAGGAATGCTAAATTTACAACTTATAGCTACACCGCAAATTTATATAAACACTATTACACTATTACACAGCTCTTTAAGAGAAAGAAAAATAAGTGGAACAGTTTTTAATTTTGTGGGAAAAATATTAAACTGATCAAAGATTTTATTAATTAATTTCAATAAATCTAAATAGTTTCGAATTTGTAAAAAAGATATTAGAAATAGTTATATCAAATAATTGAGGAGATCAAAAATTAATCATATTAATGGATTTTTGTTTCAAGCAATTTTTTTTCTCTTACAGAGCCAGTTATAATTTTCAAAATCATTAAAATTGACAATGTCATTGCTAAATGCTATAATTGGTCAGCTGTTCGCAGAAACACTAAAGTTAAGATTTAATTAACTTTAACTTCTACAGTACTTAATAAGTAGAGCTATATTATTATACCAAATTAAATATTTTGGTTAATTTATGATTTTCGTTTAAGTAGTAACAGCTTTTACTTTTTCATGGACAGCCTTAACGTGTGCAGTACGAGCTCCAGGTTGTGTGAACCTTTTTCCACATACCTTACATTCATAAGGTTTTTCACCAGTATGAACATAATTGTGTTTCTTAAGAACCGAGGAACTCGCAAAGCCTAAAAAAGGTCATGGAGAAATATCTGATTTTTTTTTTATTTAAAAAATGAATTTTTTTCCTTACCTTTAGAGCAGAGGACGCAAACATAAGGTCGTTCGCCTGTATGAGATCTCATATGCACTATTAAATGAGACGATAACACAAAACCTTTATTGCAGATGTTGCAAAAATGTGGCCTTTCTCCAGTATGAGATCTAAATCAAATTAAAACAAAAAACTTAAAAATGTTCAAATCAATTTTATGAATTTAAAAGTAATACCTCATATGGACTCTCATCTCGCTATTGTTAGGACATTGTTTACCACAAATATTGCATGTTGCTCTCATTTTCGGCTTTTCACCTGTATGTTTGCGATTATGAGCCTGAGAAATAGATTTATTTAAATATGTAATACTTATACAAATATTAGGGTTTCAAAAACCGTTTTTTTGGCAAAAATTATGGAATTCGAAAACCGGTTTTCTAGTGAAAAAAGTCGGTTTTCACTGTATAAATGGAAAATGACAAATGTAGCCAAATATAAAAGATAGATGAAAGCGTTTTGATTCTTCGGTTAAAGATATCGGTTCAATAGCATTTGATATCTGATCAGTTCCCAGAAAGGTTTTGTATATATTAATTTAGAGTTTTATACCAGAATGTATATTAATTTGAAACAATGTGACTTCTTCTTGAAGAAGTAACTTCCTCTACTCAAACTTAAAAAAAAAAGTTTTTAACCCTAGAAGTCATAAATTAAAGAACAAAAAAAATTAGAATTATTATATCAGGCTTTAAAAACAATTAAGCATAATTTCGTCTCAAGTATGAAAGTATTTTCTATTTCAGAAAATTTTGTGAGAAATCAAAGGACATGTCTAAGTAGCAATTCGATAGACGTTCTCAGTTTTTTCAAATCATATTTTATTAAACAAAAAAAATAATCAGATTTTTTAAAATTAATTAATTATTAATTAATTAAAATTGTTCGAAACAAATACCCGAATTAAGCTTAATTGTTTTTAAAACTAGAATTGGTATTAACAAGTATGTATCAACATGTATCTAATATTTTTTTATTTTTTTTTAATTTAATGCATTTTTTTATTTAAAACTGTATTATTTTTATTTATTCGAAAACTTTCCTTTCACTATCATAAAAATATTTTCATTCTTATAAGTGAAAATGATGCATAAATAACGAATAATTATTTTCAAAGTTATTTAATTAAGATAAACCATTATTTTTTTAGTTTTACTAATTAAAATTAAAATAATTTTATTTACTATCTATAAAATTGAACAATAAATAAATTCAGTCAAATACTGCTTCTGAATTACACGAAATTTGCGGATAAATTACAGAATATTCGAGAAAAAATTTATTTTCTATATAAAATTCGAAAACCGGTTAAAACCGGTTTTTTAGTAAAATTAAAATTCGAAAACCGGTTTTCTGAAATGTCGGATTTTGTATAAACCCTAACAAATATAACGTAATACCATGAAATACGAGTTTAATACAAGCTCGTATCTCGAAGAAGTTTTTTCCATATAAATTCATTAAAGTGCCATTAATTCGTTACATCACTATTGTATTTGTTAGGTTTTTGAAATATAAAAAATAAATTTACAATCTATTAACTTCCCGTGAGATAAGTTATCGTAACCGTTCAAAAATCGAAAATTTTTGCATATCTTTGCGTTTCAGAGGTTTTTGAACATTTTGGAATACCTTAGAAAAAATTGATGTATGTTTGGATACAATTTTTCGTCCACGTTTTCAACAGCACGGATCAACTGATTTGAGTTATTCAAAAAACATTCGATACGTATTGACGGTGAGACTCCAGACGTTTCGGAGATATTAGTTTCAATATAATTTTTATGCAGAAATGAATAATTGATTCATTTAGAATTATAGATTTACTAATACTAACTTGTAGTTCTCCGCTACTGGCATGCCCCTTTCCACAAACTGTGCAAATGTAAGGCCTCTCGCCAGTGTGGGTTCTTAAATGAATAGTGAGATTTCCACCTTGGGCAAATCTACAAAATAAATCAATAATTGAAATTACCAAAAATGTCAATTTAAACTAATCCATAAAGACGTAATATATGGAATTTTGCTAAAAATATCTATTATAAGAAAAATCTTTTTTGTTTCACAACCTTTGTTGCGTTTTCAAGCAAAATTCATAAATAAATATAAACAATATATCATAAAAAAAGTATATACAAGTATATTATACTTTACTTTTTATCACAATATGTACAAGCATAAGGCTTCTCGGCAGTATGCACTCTCATATGAATTTTCAATTGCCAAGGCAATCTAAAATCTGAAATTGACGTTCATAATTTTTAATTATATATTTGATTACGTAAATATGGTTAACTTATATATGATAAATATATTATAGTCATAACATATTTTATTTAACGAGGAGGATAGGGTAAAGAACAAAGCTCCAATTTGAGTTCTAGTAATTATACTGTGAACACCGAAATAACTACAGTACAGCAAATAGCACATATCAAATAAATAACTAAAGAAATAAGTTTAGAGAAGCTTCAATTTAATTCAGTGATTTCCAACCTGTGGGGCGCGCCCCCCTGGGGGGGCGCCATACCGTTCCAAGGGGGGCGCAAAGCTGTTTCAAAAATATTATTTTTAAATGCTGAGTAAGTGTCACAAACAAATCAGCAAAATACTAAAAGTACTTCTAAGAGTGTTTGAGCAAAGAAATTGCTATATTTCTTGCTGATAACAAAAGAGACGGAGAATTCTTGTTTTAGGACACAAAGTTCCTCGCAAAATTTGCGTGTTTAGTTGATATTTTTCAAAGATTTAAATAAATCAATGCAAGAATCTCAAATTCGTGCTTTTGTTCAAAAAGACAAGATTACGGCTTTTCTGAAAAAATTAGAACTGTGTATAGCTAGTATCAAATAACTTTATAACTTTAACATGTTTCCCAACTTTAAACTTATTTGTGTTACTGATGAAAAAAAAGTAAGTAAAGATCTTATTATTATATCAGTCATATGACTAGTCTACGAAACCAATTTTTGCATTACTTTATCTAATTACGTCCAGATACGAATGGATTAGAAATTCATTTGTCATTGAGAAACATGATATGTATATTTTTTATAATACTGTGTATTATTTGGCATAATTTCAGTTATATTAAGTATATTTAAATTGTTAGAAAAATAAAAAGGGGGGGGGCGCAATATTTTTTTTATTCGAAAGGGGGGCGCAAGGAAGAAAAGGTTGGAAACCGCTGATTTAATTCATCATCAGAGATAAAACACCTTATAAAACAAATAAATAACATATAACATATAACTTAAGATTTATATCAAGGTCTCATAAACTAAACAGCAGTGCTCAATAGGGAATGCAATACCGGTTTACCGGTATACCGCTCGATTTTTCGGCGATATTTTTACCGGTATTTACCCCAAAAATACCGGTATTTTCGGTATTTTTACATAAGCGCTATTTGATACATATAATTTATCTATATGTATTTATTATATATAATTTAATTTGATACAATAAAATTTAAATTTTTCTGAACAAATTTATCTTTAAATTCCATAATCGCATAAACAGCAGAAGCTTCAAGTGATTCTATAGAAAAAACAAATGTCAAATATTATATCAACTCGTCATTAAACTGAATATTTATTGCTTTACTAAGGGCTACAAATCGTGTTACTATAAATAGAATAGGACTGATAGAGAATGATGTTTGTTTCATCTTATGTAAAAATGCAACAGTTTTTTAATTTGCGCCAAAATATTTTATATCAAACAGATTACCCCTGCGTAATCTTTATTTTTTTTAACTTTGTACATAATAATTATGACAATTACTAAATATTTTTGCTTCTTATTACAATTATAAAATATTATTTTTGAAAACGTTTCGAAGTTTGAAAATGCTATAGAAGCATCACATTGTTTTAAATAAGAATACTCAACAATTATAGTAACTTATTATTCATCTCGACTAAGTGTCCGATCTTAAATTAGTGTAGAAAAATTATTTTTTTAAAATATTGGAGATTATGCTAATTTAACACATCGGATACAGACAATACAGTTTATTATAATAATGTAATATGATCTTTTATGAGTTTCTGGTCTTTCTTACTCATAAGTTTGTTTTTGGTGAAAAGTACTCAATATACTCGATAGTGATAATGAATTAATTAAATTGGATATAATTTTGTTAAATTATTATTTAAAAAAATAAAATTATTCTTTTATTTTATTGTTTAGTTGAATATAGTAGTTGTATATACATTTTTTATATTTGTACTAGTAACTTTCAATTTTGTTTACGTTTGTTTAAGATAATAAAAATACCGGTAATTTACCGGTATTCCAGTTTTAAAATGAAAAATTACCGAAATACCGGTATTGAAATTTTCCATCTGTATTGCATTCCCTAGTGCTCAAAACCAAAAAAATACTTTAGCTTTAAAATTGACAATGTGCACCCAGGTACACATCTTTTGCCCTCTACTTTAAAATAGTATAATTAAAAAAATTGAGATAATAGAAGTAGATTCTTTTACCCGCGGTTCGTTAATCCTCGATTTATTCCACTATATATAATTTTTTGTTATTATCTTACCTTTATGGCAAACTTCGCAAATATTAGTTTTCTCGCTAAGATGTATCTTTTTATGTATTTCCAATTGTCCAGTTTGTGCAAAACATTTCCCACATTCGTTGCAACTGAATGGCTTCTCACCTGTATGAGTACGCATATGGATTCTGAGAACATTGCTCTCGTAAAATCTGTACAAAAAAACAAATCACTTTATATTTCTTACAATATGATTAAAGATATATTAAATTACCGTTTGCCACAAGTGTTACACATGTAAGGCTTCTCGCCTTTATGCCTCCTCATATGCTTGACCTAAAGAAACAATACACAGTTATAATATAATTATGATAGGTAAATTATTATGATCTCTAAACTTACCAGACTACCAGATTCTGGAAAACCTTTACTACAAATTTCACACACATAAGGTTTAATAGCTAGATGGGTTTTCATGTGTCTGGCTAGCACTTTTGGACCTTTCAATTGTTTTCCACATTCCTAAATAAACACAAAAATCATTTATATTTTGCATTTTGTACGTAATATATTATTTAAAGTAATAGCCCGCTTAACGCTGCTTCGTTTAGCGCTCTTTTTTATTGAAGTGAAACTTCTAATTCGTATATTAGTCATATGTATTTAAAACTGTTATTTAAACAAGGGCCAGGGATGTTTTATTTATTGAAGTGAAACTTTCGTATGAAAGAATTATTTATAATACTTGGATATTTTATACTAGAGAATTGTAAATTAAAAATTGTATGAAAAGGTATAAATATATTGAAAATCGTATGAAATTGTTGCAAATCGCTTTATATCGAGTTTCAAAACTATTTGCAGTTTGCTTATTAGAAGTCATTTTCTGCTTTTTTCTAGACATTTAATTTGCTCGTCAGTAGAGTCTTTTTCTCATTTTCTATCTAAGATATTTAATTTGCTCGACAGTAGAATTCCTTTTCTATCCGTTTTTCAGTTTGCATGTCAGTATATTTCCTTCTGTTTCCACAATGAAAATCGATTCTGGCAATTTGTCTAAAAAACGTTGCAAATCGTTCGAAAAAGTTGCAAATCGTCTAAAACCTTGTAGATAGTTTAAAAATATTGCAAACCATCTGAAAACGTCGCAAATCGACTGAAAACGTTCTAAACCGTTTAAAAATCTTGCAAATCGTCCAAAAATTTTGTAAATCGTCTAAAAAATTTGTAATCGTCTAAAACGTTGTAATTCGTCTAAAAATCTTGTAAATCATCTGAAAGAGTTGTAAATCAATCTTGTAGATCGTTTAAAAACGTTGCAAACCATCTAAAAACATTGTAAATCGTATAAAAATCTTGTAAATAATCTAAAAACCTTGTAAATCGTCTAAAAATCTTGTAAATCGTCTAAAAACGTTGTTATTCATCTAATAATCTTGTAGATCGATTAAAAACGTTGCAAATCATCTGAAAACGTAGCAACCCGTCTAAAAACCTTTTAAATAATCTAAAAACCTAGAAAATCATCTAAAAACCTTGTGAATAGTCTAAAAATCTTGCGAATCATCTAAAAACATTGTAAATCGTATAAAAATCTTGTAAATAATCTAAAAACCCTGTAAATCGTTTAGAAACCTTGTAAATCGTCTAAAAACCTTGCAATTCATCTAAAAATCTTGTAAATCGTCTAAAAATCTTGAAAATCATCTAGAAACGCTGTAAATAGTCTAACAATCTTGTAAATCGTCTAACAATCTTCTCGACCATCTAAAAACGTTGCAAATCAACTGAAAACTTTGAAAACCGTTTAAAAATATGGTAAATGCCTTTGCTTTTCGAAATATATTCGTATATTATTTTGATTTTAGTATAAAATGTGTGTTCAGTTTTATTTTCATTAAAAATAAGCAGAGTTATTTAATTTAATATATATCCAATTTTCTATCCTTCTATTTCTATTTACATAAATAATAGTGTTTATAAATTTAAATTAAATCCTTACCTCACAAGTAACAAATTCATTCGTGTTTTTCGATACTGCACTATCACTTTTCCTTGCATCGATTTTATTTTCTATAACAATATTCTCATGTACGGCGTTTTCCGACAATGCATTTTCTAAAATAACATTTTCCAAAGTCGTATTGTCCAACGTCACATTTGTATTATCTAATGTCACATTTTCTGCATTTCCAATCGAGACGGCAACCGATTGATCTACGCTTGATATATAGTCAATTCCTGGACTCATGATTATTTCTTGCAGGTCTATTAATTTATCATTGGTCATTTGTTCATCGTTCAGAGAATCTGGTGCAAGGGGACTGGGAGCAGAAGATTCGATGAACAATGTGGTGGGGTCTGGTTCGGGTTCGATGTCTTGAATTTGGGGCAACTTTTCGGTGTGTAGAATTAAATTACCACCCATTGTGTCTGTGAGTTCTGTAAGGGAATTAAATATAACCAGATTAATAGAATATTTTATAATAAGACTAGCAAATCCGACGAACTCCGTTTCGCCACCAGATGGTTTCGTGAAAAAGATGTAGAAATTTTTTGTTTGTTTTATATTTGAAAAGGAAAAATTTGATTTTATTGCACAACAGTAATGAATTTATTTCGATTACAAAAATTAACTGTTTTTTAGTTGAACTTCTCTAAGTAAATGAAAGTGATCCGCCAATTATCCGTTTCATTAAAATGCTCTTTGGTAAACCACATTTTTTGTTTTTGGTCTGACGTTAACACAAACAAAGCGGATGGTTTTCCAACTCGTGAACAGGCAACGTATAACTGCCCATGTGAAAAACAAGATTTTCTAAATAATCTATTTGAAATTTATCTCGCAAACACTAAGCGCTTGGCCTTGCGATTTGTTATTGCGAACGCAAGGCGAACTGGAAATTGCAATTGTTTGAAGTCAAAGAAACCAGTCGGAATTATTGGTATGTCACCAAATCGCCAGCAATTTTTGATTGAATGGTGAAATTCAGTGCATTATTCTTTGCGGCAAGAATTGCTCGTTGACTTAACCAAGGATAATTCTGATACTTCTCACTAATGTCATTACTCGAATTTTTAATTATTGTGCGTGAAATTCCAGCAATTTGCATTAGGGCACGATGCCATGCACCACTAATTTTCTTAGCTATAAACCTTGCAGAGCCCGAGACCTTTCCAACGAATGCAAAATTATCGAAATCGGTTCGTGCGTTCTGGAGTTATTTCGTCAGGAAGGAAAACCCGACTTATTTTATATATATAGAAGATAATTTTTAAAATTATGACTTGTAACGAGACTTATAGATAGCAAAAAATTAGCATACATGAAAAGCAAAATTATTTTGTATGGGCGGGGCGGGTAAAACTACCCGTCCTGACGTCTGGTGCTGGTATTATGTCCTTTTGAATGTTACTAATTTTAAATTCAGTTTGCATATGATAATTAAGAGTTTTTCTTTAGATTCATTTGATTTAGTTTACCGTCATTTATTATAGAATTTAGTATATTTAGTATTTAAAAAATAAGTAAATGTAAAATTTAACACATTTTTATGTACAATACTTGAAATGACTTTAAATTTTCGTTACGAAAATTATAATTTGTTCTCATTGACAAAATTCACTAGAATTTAGCAAAATTTTTTACTTATATACACTTGGATAACAAAAATTTTTGCATATATACTCGTGTAGTTCAAATGCGGACTTCATAATTTTTGATACGAATGTTGAGGCATTTTTTACTATTCTTCAAATAACTTTAATTTTTATTTCGGACATAATAGTTTGTTTACATTAGTAAAAACACTAGATAAATTTACTAAACATCTAGTGAAAACTGTTGTATACACTTAGATATTGAAATTTTGAATAATTCGTAGTCAAAATGCGGACTTTCGTATTTTTGATAATTTCCCATTACATGGATTTTGAACATTTTTTAAAGTTTCTTCAAATAACTTTAAATTTTCATTTCGGACATTATAATTTGACATTGCCATTACATGGATTTAGAATATTTTTTAAGTTTCTTCAAATAACTTTAAATTTTCATTTCGGACATTATAATTTGTTTATATTAATAGAAACTAGATTTTCTGTGTATTATGACAAAGCAAATTTCATATTTATAAATTGAGGTCCTTTTAAATACTATGTCGTTGCTTGTAAAATGTATGATAAAAATAGTATAATTATTTTCTTAAGACATTATTTTAACTAGAAGGTTTACAAAATCACTAGCAAAATGAAATTCAAGCCACAAAACGCCAATACTTGATTTAAAGTTTTCTGAATTTACAATATATCCTACTACCTATTACGAGTATTATTATATTATATATTATATTTGTTGGTTATTCAAATTTTTGGAGATGTACAGATATTTTACATTATTAACTTCCCGTAGGGTAAGTTACAATAATGGCAAAAAAATAGAAAATGAAAATTTGTGTGTGTACGTGTGTGTGTGCGTGTATGTATGTGTGTTCGGATACAAATTTTCGTAGACGATTTCGGGAAAACGGATGAAGCGATTTGAATATTTCAAAAAACATTCGATTCGTATTGATAAGGAGACGTGCTGATTAGCTTTTGGCGAAGGCAGGTCTAGCCGTTCCGAAGATATAGGGAAAAAAGTTCCAAAAACGGTAACTCAGATTTTAAGAGAATGAAGGGTCCGATTTGAATAATTCAAAAAACATTTTACTTGTATTAACAAGATGAAGAACTGATCAAATTTTCTTGAAGGCAGGTCTAGCGGTTTCGGAGATCTAGTAAAAAAAGTAAAAAAAACTGCCATTTGGCGTTTAAAAATCATCATTAGACATATGCACATCAAATTATCAGATATTTTGTAGAGATTTTAAGTATAAATTTTGTTTACATTCCTATGGGTTCCGTACCATTACCAATGTTTATCCGTTAGACAGCGACGCGGCGCTTACGCGCTTCGATATTTCGTCTCTATGCAGTTAAAGCAATACGATTGCTTTGAAAAAAAGTTCAGAATTTCCAAAATATTTCAAAATACACTTTTCCTCAAAAAGTCTTTTTTTTCAAAAAAAAGTAAATTTTTGTCAAAAATTTATAGTTTCTCAAAAATCTAATTTTTAAGAGTAAATTTTTTTAAAAAATGTTAATCTTTTAAAAAAAAATAATTTTTGGTATGGGAAGTTACAGCAATT